CCCCCTATAGTAATTCATCCCCCATATAGTAATTCATCCCCCATATAGTAATTCATCCCCCCTATAGTAATTCATCCCCCATAGTAATTCATTCCCCATATTGTGTGAATTCACTTACCTTTGCTCCGCGCGTTCCTCTCGCTGGGTTCCCGCGCCGTTCTGGTCTTCAGGGCGGACTGTGAGAGGAGTTCGTCACGCTGCCCCGCCTACATCCGGGCTGCCCCGCCTACATCCTGACAGCCAATGTTTGCCAGCGGGCGCCCGGCACATAGAAGATCTGCATTAAAAGAGCCGCGGCTTGCCGACCCTATTGCCTGTCACCTGGTGGGCAGTGTGCTCCGGAGCCGCAGGAAAGGTGAAAAAGAGCCGTATGCGGCTCCGGAGCCGCGGGTTGCCGACACCCGCCCTAGGGGCTAAAGTTTTTTTTTTTTTAATTACCAAACTGCGCAGATTAAAACAACAAACTGTTCAACATTCTTAGATTTAAAGCCGTTCTTCACTCTCTAAATCAACACTATTTTTAAATCCTTATGCTGCCAGCAGTAGTAAATCTCAGTCTCAACCCAGAGCTTGCAATCATGCATGTGTCCGATTACCTGTACTGTACCACACTGCACACAGGGACGTAGATAAGGGGGAGCTCAAACTCCCACTTCCCAGAGCATCCTGCCAAAAAATCAATTGAATAGTGTCTGTGCTGCTTGTCGCTGGTGCCATGTGTGGGTGGCAGCAAAGCAGAGACCCCACACAGTTGATCCCTGGACTGGCCTTGACACCTCAGTGATGTGGAGCTGTCAAAGACATGTGTGCAGGTCCTAACCGTTTACACCACCACGTCGCGGCACCCCTCCACCAGGCGGGCCATGGTGTCAGCCTCGGGTTGGGCAGTCTGAAGGAGGCTATAACAAGCCTCCTTCATAGGCAGCACGGAGCAGGAGTGGCCAGCGTCTGTCCCACCCACTGCTCTGTTGCTATTGGCTTGCAGTTCCTCTGCTTGGAGAAGAGCTCAAGAGTGCAGGATGCTTGCTGTGTATATGCCGGACTGGCGGGTCTGCCCTGTGGATGAAGTGGTGGTTGCTGCTTACCTTTTTTAAGTCCAGGTGTGTCCCTCTTTCTCTTGCGTTCTCCTCAGGCTAGCCGGAGAGATTGTCTGGCTGTGGAAACTGGCAAAGTTGATGATGGAGTCTCCATTGCTGTTGGGTTAAGCCCTGTTCACATCTAGCGATTTGTGGGTAGAATCGCTGTGATATGTCTGTAGTAAGTCCATGGTCTCTAACCATCTTCCACAGTCTCTCACTGTCTCCTCTAGTATGCCTTCCGTCTCTCACCATCTCCCGTAGTAGGCCCACAATCTCTCACCATCTGTAGTAGGGTTCGCAGTCTCTCACCATCTCCTTCAGTAGGTCCGCAGTCTCTCACCATCTCCTTCAGTAGGTCCGCAGTCTCTCACCATCTCCCTCAGTAGGTCCGCAGTCTCTCACCATCTCCCTCAGTAGGTCCACAGTCTCTCACCATCTCCCTCAGTAGGTCCGCAGTCTCTCACCATCTCCCTCAGTAGGTCCGTAGTCTCTCACCATCTCCCGTAGTAGTAGGCCCGCAATCTCTCACCATCTGTAGTAGGGTCCGCAGTCTCTCACCATCTCCCTCAGTAGGTCCGCAGTCTCTCACCATCTCCTTCAGTAGGTCCGCAGTCTCTCACCATCTCCTCAGTAGGTCCGCAGTCTCTCACCATCTTCCTCAGTAGGTCCGCAGTCTCTCACCATCTCCCTCAGTAGGTCCGCAGTCTCTCACCATCTCCCTCAGTAGGTCCGCAGTCTCTCACCATCTCCCTCAGTAGGTCCGCAGTCTCTCACCATCTCCCGTGGTAGGTCCCCCAGTCTCTGACTCAGTCCCACTTCTCCTGTATGCCAGTGTAATTCTCAGTATCTCTTCTTAATCTGTATGGATGGACTCTACACAATACAACTTCTCCTGTCCTGTATGCCAGGTGTAATTCTCAGTCTCTGTCATTCTGTATGTATGGACTCTGCACAATACCACTTCACTCAGGGCTCATGCACATAGCTGATTTTAAAAAAAAAAGCTGCATTTTTTTGTGGCTGGGTCCAGGCTTGGACATCTGTCCTTAACTGGAGGTAACTGCTTTGTGTGTGACTACATGTGAACAGTGGTGTGAACTAGGAGCGCAGAGAGCACACGGAGCCAGATCACATGGAATCCAAACGTGCGGGCATTTATTGGGGAGTTTTGTAGTCTGTGACCTAGCTGTTGGATTGTGTGCATCCCAAAAAAGACAAAGTGATACAGTAGGGCTCTCAGGATAGCAATATGGGACAACAGGGGGCTGATAGTCCACTGGGTTCAATAGGACAGAGCAGAGGGGGCACCACAGGGGTTGGAGTCCACAGGCAAGGGTTTCCAGGCAGAATCAGGCTAAGTCCAAAACAGGGCAGAAATCCGGGCACATCGGGATTAATCCAATACACAGGATGTGAGGCAGGGCAGAGCAGATTAAAGTCCACACAGGGCAGCGGTTCAGGCACAATGAGATTTTTTTTAAGATCTAAAAATCGGCATCTACAAGAGGAATAAGTGCCAAAAAAACAATCCAATTTGCACCAATGAAAAAAACTGGATGACCAATTGCCACTATATATTAAATATTTATAACCAACATTTCCAAAAGTGCATAAAGTGTGAAAAAAAAATAAATAAAATGCAGCATATACAATACACAGAACTGACTGGACTCTATAAATATTAATACTTGGAGAATACAGAGGCCTGGACAAAGTAAATCCATCAAACCTAATTCATGGACCCTTCACTAGTTGTGCAAATCTTCATAACTCAGACCTGAGACCATAGTCACGTGGCAGTTGGTCACAGACAGGTAGAGTTTTCCCAATTAATCTGTGCCGCCAGCAGCACTGATCAGTGTATTCTGATGGTGGGGAGTCTTTAATTCAACCTGCTGGTTAAGCAGGTGGGGGGACAGAGAAGGAGAAAAAAAAAAAAAAAAAAAAAAAAGGACTTGACATCAGTAAACTGCAATGAAAGATCGGAGAGAAATGTACCCTCCAGGTGAGGCTTGCAAAGTTGAAGTAGGACATGTTGTAATATCTGGAGAAGACATGAGAATAATATCTAGTTATTCCAATATTTTCAGTCAAACAGTAACTAATGCAAGTACTACTATGTGTTGAAAATCAGCTCTGAGCACAATTGGCAAATACCTCATAGAATACCCCCGTTGGAAAATTTCACAAGACCATGGTTTTTGTGATAACCTGGAATTCACATGGGCTGCAGCAACTTGCTGTCCCACTTCTCACCTCTGTAGCAATAGGCACTGTTGAATAGTTCACAATAGTGGCACTAAAAATCATAGCTATTTTCTATGGAAGTAGACTCTTGGCACCCTGCCAGACTTCTACGGTAAACACTTGGCAAGTCCTGTAAGCTGATTGAACAGACAACAAACTCTGAAGTCAAGATTCTAGTCTGTCTTTTAACACTTACTCCACAGTGCCTGCAGCTAGAGAAGTCAGCAAGTGTACTTTAAAACCCACCTAAAAAACACTTCTTCAGGAACATAAATACCTAATGTTCCTAGTCTGGGCACCAGTAAAATGGGATTTCATTTAGTGACAGGTTTAGTCATGGGGATACCATAAACCTCAAAAGTGCCCACCCATTTAGAATACACCACCCATCAAGATCATGTGGAGGAAACTGTGGTGCGACTGTAGGAACAGCCTGTCCAATTGCAGTTTCCATCCACACTGGCGGAGCTTGTTTATGGGTTTAAAAAACAGCCATGACTGCTCAGTTGATCCAACAATTAAGTCTGTTGCAACCACACACCTATGTGCAGTAGTACATTCTCCAATGACGGAGCAGCTTACATTTTCACAGAAAGTCATGCAAACAGTAATAGGTTATGATAGACCATTGTGTGTGACAACACTTAACGAAGGTAGTCAAACTGTCATACCCATTTTTATTGTGGACTGCATCTTTTTATAAATTTTTATATTTAATCTTATTGAGCACTTGCCACTTTTTAATAGATTGAGTGTCATATCACCTATTCATCTTCACTGTATTGGTCTGGTTAGCCGTGTGGTTGGCATACCAGGCATTTGTTTTGCACTTTAGTGGATTGCATTTATGCTTATGTTGAGCACTTGTCACTTTGTTTGCATTTATGGTGTGATTTATCACGGTTGTTCACCAGATTGCTCTAGTTAGCCATTGGTTGGCACTCCAGATAATACTTCACTAATATCACTAGAAGATATGTATAATTTTTTTTTTGTTGTATATAATCATTTATTTTCTGTTTAAATACTGCACATGGTTTATTTTATGGAGATATAAATTGTAGTTTTTTTAGTACTTTATGGAGATATAATTGTAGTTTTTAGTACTTTATGGAGATATAAATTGTAGTTTTTAGTACTTAACACCTACAGGTTTAAGAGATTTGGATATTTAGCTTTTATTCAATTTATAATTATTATAACAATACACTTTGTATTTAGATCGTGCATAGCACTTCACCATTTTATTTTATGTAATACTGTATATGAGATAGACTCATTACATGCAAAGCAAGATGGTTTAAGCCATGATTTGTCATCATTGTGATGATTATGGCTTACAGCTCATGAAAACCCCAAATCCACAATCAAAGAAAATGAGAATATTGTGAAAAGGTGCAATATTCTAGGCTCAAAGTGTCCCACTCTAATCAGATAATTAAGCCATAACACCTGCAAAGGTTCCTGAGCCTTTAAATGATCTCTCAGTCTGGTTCAGTAGGAATCACAATCATGGGAAAGACTGCTCACCTGACAGTTGTGCAGAAAACCATCATTGACACCCTCCATAAGGAGGGAAAGCCTCAAAAGGTAATTGCAAAAGAAGTTGGATGTTCCCAAAGTGCTGTATCAAAGCACATTAATAGAAAGTTATGTGGAAGGGAAAAGTGTGGAAGAAGGTGCACAAGCAACAGGGATGACCACAACCTGGAGAGGATTGTCAGGAAAAGGCCATTCAAAAGTGTTGGGGACTTTCACAAGGAGTGGACTGAGGCTGGAGTCAGTGCATCAAGAGCCACCACACACAGACGGATCCTGGACATGGGCTTCAAATGTCGTATTCCTCTTGTCAAGCCGCTCCTGAACAACAAACAATATCAGAAGCGTCTTACCTGGGCTAAAGAAAAACAGACCTGGTCTGTTGCTCAGTGGTCCAAAGTACTCTTTTCTGATGAGAGCAACTTTTGCATCTCATTTGGAAACCAAGGACCCCGTGTATGGAGGAAGAATGGAGAGGCCCAAGGACCCCGAGTATGGAGGAAGAATGGAGAGGCCCAAGGACCCCGAGTATGGAGGAAGAATGGAGAGGCCCAAGGACCCCGAGTATGGAGGAAGAATAGAGAGGCCCAAGGACCCGGAGTATGGAGGAAGAATGGAGAGGCCCAAGGACCCCGAGTTTGGAGGAAGAATGGAGAGGCACACACTGCAAGATGCTTGAAGTCCAGTGTGACGTTTCCACAGTCTGTGTTGATTTGGGGAGCCATGTCATCTGCTGGTGTTGGTCCACTGTGCTTCATTAAGTCCAGGGTCAACGCAGCCGTCTACCAGGAGATTTTGGAGCACTTCATGCTTCCTTCCGCAGACGAGCTTTATGGGAATGCTGACGTCATTTTCCAGCAGGACTTGGCACCTGCCCACACTGCCAAAAGCACCAAAACCTGGTTCAATGACCGTGGGATTACTGTGCTTGATTGGCCAGCAAACTCGCCTGACCTGGAGAGAATCTCAGAAAATGAGAATATTGGAGAGAACCCCATAGAGAATCTATGGGGCATTGCCAAGAGAAAGATGAGAGACATGAGACCGAACAATGCAGAAGAGTTGAAGGCCGCTATTGAAGCATCCTGGTCTTCCATAACACCTCAGCAGTGCCACAGGCTGATAGCTTCCATGCCACGCCACATTGAGGCAGTAATTGCTGCAAAAAGGGGCCCAAACCAAGTACTGAGTACATATGCATGCTTATACTTTTCAGAGGTGCAATATTGTTCTATGTACAATCCTTGTTTTATTGATTGCATGTAATATTCTCATTTTCTGAGATTGTGGATTTGGGGTTTTCATGAGCTGTAAGCCATAATCATCACAATTATGACAAATCACGACTTGAACTATCTTGCTTTGCATGTAATGAGTATCTCATGTATTAGTTTCACTTTTTAAGTTGCATTACTGAAATAAATTAACTTTTGCACGATATTCTAATTTTTCAAGTTTCACACACACACATATATATATATATATATATATATCCGTGGGCAGTATGTAGAAGAGAGGAGGAGGGGGGGAATTGTATGACCGTAGGCAATATGTGCAGGAGAGGAGCGTGGAGGGTATGACAGCGGGCATCATGTACAGGAGAGGAGTGTGGAGGGTATGACAGCGGGCAGCATGTACAGGAGAGGAGTGTGGAGGGTATGACAGCGGGCAGCATGTACAGGAGTGGAGTGTGGTGGGTATGACAGCGGGCAGCATGTACAGGAGAGGAGTGTGGTGGGTATGACAGCGGGCAGCATGTACAGGAGAGGAGTGTGGAGGGTATGACAGGGTGGTATGTGCAGGAGAAGAGTGCGGAGGGTAGGGTATAATAGTTGGAAGTATGTGCCATCTGTCATACCAGTATGTGGGTTAACCCCCAAAGTCTCCCAAGCCCTCCAAAAGCATCTAACCGAGCACAGATCATGCTTGGTTAGCTGCTTCACTGGCTGTGACAGCCAGGAATGGCAGCTCTAAAGCCAAAGTGATGAAATCATTGCTCTCAGCTGCATTCACTGCAGAGGAATGGATAAACCTGGCTAGGACCATCAATGGCAATAGGGGCAACAGAGTTAAAAATTCCCTTCAAATGGTAATTCCCTGGTACTTCCATTCCATGGTTCTCACTTACACTGAGCAATGTTCAGGTATGCCTCTTATTGGACAGAAACGCAGATAAATTTTTTCTTCGACGAGCAGTCCTTTTCCCATTGTTCGCTTGGATTCCATGTTTGACAGTTCTCACCGGAAAGATTGTTCAGTCTATGGGATGATCAGATTGTGAAATTACATTACAATTAAATTACATTTCACCCAATCAATTATCTACACTGCACTAGCAAAAACACTCTAGGATCAGGATGATTGCCCTGGAGCTGGGGCTCTTGGCCTTCTTACAACTACAGATGTATTGCCCTAAAATGTCCCCACACCCTCCTTACCAAACTTTTGAAATAATCCTTACAGATGTTCTAAAGCTTGGTACACACGGTGAGAATATTGGATGAATAATCGTCCTTTTTGCATGCTGGTCTGATATTGAAGATGAAGAGGTTACTAGAGTTACAAAAATTCTCGTACGACAGAATACAACTTCCAGCGATGATGTAATGTATTGTATTCTTTCATTTCTGAGCATGCGTGATCTTGGTCACTCTTTGAGGAATATCGTAGCGATTGTTCCGTTATTCGAAGGGACAAGCATAAAGGATTTTTCTTGGAAGATAAATTTTGCATGAACTGTCGTGAATGGCTCTTGAAAGCTGTGTGCGAAGGATTGGATTATCAAATCGCTTTGAAAGTGGTACTTTTTTGTTTGTTTTCTCACCGCGTGACAAGGCCTAACCAAAAAACTCTGGGGTTTATTGGAGTACAAAAAAAAAAAAAAAAAAAAGGGGAGGAGGATTCCCCAGCCAGCACTTCCATGACCTGCAGGACAGGGAATAACCTGGTCCACTGTTCAATTTATATACACACACACACACACATATACACACATATATACACATACACATATACACATATACACATATATACATACATACACACACACATTATATACACACACACATATATTCTCCCATTTTATTCAAATGGCAATAAAAATATTAATTTGTATTATTTACCGTATTTTTCGCTCCATAAGACACACTTTTTTCCCCCCAAAAAAGGGGGGAAAATGTCAGTGCGTCTTTTGGAGCGGCCGGTCCGGTATTTCCACCGCCGTGTCAGAATACCGGGCCGGCCGCTCAGCTCTGCAGCGGGACCTTACCTGTTCCTCTATCCAGCGGCGTGCTGTCTTCCCGGCTTCTGTAGTGTGGGCACTGGGCATGCCGGGTGCCCAGTGCGCATGCGCAAGAAGTGGTGCTCTTTGTGAATGGTAAGGCGGTACCTGGGACACATGACAGATCCCAGAAGCCACCGGACCAATCACAAAGCGCAGTGCTTCTCGCTCATGCGCACTGGGCACCCGGCTGTCAAGCCGAGCGCCATTACAGAAGCCGGGAAGACAGCGTGCGGCTGGATCGAGGAACAGGTAAGATCAAAGAACAACTCCGCGGAAGTAAGAGCGGGTACCTGTCAAATTCAGGTACCCGCTCCCCCCCCCCTCCCCAAAGGTCAGCTTGTCATCTCATGTACTGTGCACAGTCTCTGGTCATCTCCTGTACTATGTCCGCAGTCTCTGGTCATCCCTGTACTGTGTCCGCAGTCTCTGGTCATCCCTGTACTGTGTCCGCAGTCTCTGGTCATCTCCTGTACTGTGTCCGCAGTCTCTGGTCATCTCCTGTACTGTGTCCGCAGTCTCTGGTCATCTCCTGTACTGTGTCCGCAGTCTCTGGTCATCTCCTGTACTGTGTCCGCAGTCTCTGGTCATCTCCTGTACTGTGTCCGCAGTCTCTGGTCATCTCCTGTACTGTGTCCGCAGTCTCTGGTCATCTCCTGTACTGTGTCCGCAGTCTCTGGTCATCTCCTGTACTGTGTCCGCAGTCTCTGGTCATCTCCTGTACTGTGTCCGCAGTCTCTGGTCATCTCCTGTACTGTGTCCGCAGTCTCTGGTCATCTCCTGTACTGTGTCCGCAGTCTCTGGTCATCTCCTGTACTGTGTCCGCAGTCTCTGGTCATCTCCTGTACTGTGTCCGCAGTCTCTGGTCATCTCCTGTACTGTGTCCGCAGTCTCTGGTCATCTCCTGTACTGTGTCCGCAGTCTCTGGTCATCTCCTGTACTGTGTCCGCAGTCTCTGGTCATCTCCTGTACTGTGTCCGCAGTCTCTGGTCATCTCCTGTACTGTGTCCGCAGTCTCTGGTCATCTCCTGTACTGTGTCCGCAGTCTCTGGTCATCTCCTGTACTGTGTCCGCAGTCTCTGGTCATCTCCTGTACTGTGTCCGCAGTCTCTGGTCATCTCCTGTACTGTGTCCGCAGTCTCTGGTCATCTCCTGTACTGTGTCCGCAGTCTCTGGTCATCTCCTGTACTGTGTCCGCAGTCTCTGGTCATCTCCTGTACTGTGTCCGCAGTCTCTGGTCATCTCCTGTACTGTGTCCGCAGTCTCTGGGTCATCTCCTGTACTGTGTCCGCAGTCTCTGGTCATCTCCTGTACTGTGTCCGCAGTCTCTGGTCATCTCCTGTACTGTGTCCGCAGTCTCTGGTCATCTCCTGTACTGTGTCCGCAGTCTCTGGTCATCTCCTGTACTGTGTCCGCAGTCTCTGGTCATCCGCTGTACTGTGTCCGCAGTCTCTGGTCATCCCCTGTACTGTGTCCGCAGTCTCTGGTCATCTCCTGTACTATGTCCGCAGTCTCTGGTCATCTCCTGTACTATGTCCGCAGTCTCTGGTCATCTCCTGTACTATGTCTGCAGTCTCTGGTCATCTCCTGTACTATGTCTGCAGTCTCTGGTCATCTCCTGTACTGTGTCCGCAGTCTCTGGTCATCTCCTGTACTGTGTCCGCAGTCTCTGGTCATCTCCTGTACTGTGTCTGCAGTCCATTAGTTCAGAATTTTTTTTTCCTGTTTTCTGCCTCTAAAACCTAGGTGTGTCTTATGGAGCGAAAAATACGGTATACTTAAATTATAATTTTAAGTATAAATAATAAAAATTAAATAATAATAAAATGGTGTTTTTCTTATTATTTGCTGCTTTTATTCCCCTTCATTGCCAGTAAAGTCCATATTTATTTTTCTTGTTTTGCAATTCCCCATATATTATGGGATGTGGTAATAGGACTGTTCTATTCTTTCATTGAGAAAGTTTGATTTAGGCATGGATGCCTGAGCTCATCCTTCATTACCCCCAGTCCTAATACAACTTAAGGCCAGGTTCACACCTGTGCTTGCTTTTTTTTTTATGCATTTTGCAGGAACGCAGTGCATTCCATTTATCATGATTTTCTATGGATCACCTTCACAAGTATTTTTTTGCTCAATAGAATCCAATGGAGACACTGCAGAAATGCATGTAGTGTGTTTTTTACACGTGTTTTTTGATGTGTTTTTTTATGCTTTTGATCTGCCCAGCAAAAAGTTGGCCAAAAACAAAAATGTAAAAACACATCAAAAAACACGTGTAAAAAACACAAAAAAGCACTTGAGTAACTGATCAAACTAGGTGTCCACCTAGCCTAAAAAGACAATAACTTTGGCATAAAAAAAAATTTAACAGCAAATCACAAATTCACAAAAATGGCAAAAATCTCACTACTTGTAGCCAGCTTGTGTGTATCAAAACATGGAATGGGGTGTAGTTATGACAATGCTACCCGCAGGTCATCTGACACAATGGCGGTTGATTTACCGAAACTGAAGAGCACAAAACCTGGTGCAGCTCTCCATACAAACCAATCAGCATCCAGGTTTTTTATTTGTCAAAACTTAATTGAACAAGTTGAAGTTAGAAGCCGATTGGTTACCATACAGAGCTGCACTAAATTTTGCACTCTCCAGTTTTAGTAGTCAACCCCATTAAGTCAACTTCTCCACTTTTGATTGTGGGTTGAATGCAGTAAATCCAAGTTTTGGGGTTTTTTGTTTTTTTGAAAGGTTTGAAATCCAGTCAAATTTGTTACCTCCAGTCATCAATAACCACCTGCTCTACAAAGTCCTCACATCATGCAATAATACACACTAATATATATATATATATATATATTTATTTTACACACACCCACTTTATTATTAGGTACACCAATTCACAATCACATGGCGGAAACTCAATGCATTTAGGTATCTAGAGATGGTGAAGACGACTTGCTTCAAACCAAGCATTAGAATGGGGAAGACAGGAGATTTAAATAGCTTTGAACAGGACATGATTGCTTGTGCCAGATGGGCTGGTCTGAGTATTTAAAAAAATTGCTGATCTACTGGGATTTTCACTAGGGAAAGAATGGTCCAAAAAAGAGAAAATATCCAGTGAGAGGAAGTTGTGTGGACAAAACTGCCTTGTTGATGTCAGAGGAGAATGGGCAGACTGGTTCGAGATGACTGAAAGGCAACAGTAACCCAAACAATCACCAAGGTATACAGAATACCATCTCTGAACGTACAACATGTAGAACCTTGAAGCAGATGGGCTACAGCAGCAGAAGACCACACCAGGTCAAGGTGTACCCAATAGTGTCTGTTGAGTACATGTATTTTAAAATTCCATCATGACTTTTAAGAACACTGAAAGTATTGATGCAATATGTAATGGCATCGGATGAAACCCTTATTGATTAAAACCACTGGTCACAATGTCAGGCAAACTGTCACGTACCTGGTTGGGGAGCCTGACGTGGAGAGAATCCTCTTACGACTCCCGCTCGGGAGATGCATGAGTGCCTGACGGGTCTGGAGGTGCAAGCTGGCAGGTGATGACCCGGAAGACTAGGATGCAGGTCAGTTGCTGATGCAGGTCAGTTGCGGATGCAGGTCAGTTGCGGATGCAGGTCAGCAGCAGGAAGGTACAGTGGAGGTTTGGACAACCGCGGGCAGCTGGAAGCCAGAGATAGTCACAGGCAGGAGAGGTTGCAGCAACAGACAAGCAGGGTCAGGATCAGTCAGATCAGGTACAGAGGAGCAGGAAAGCGGATAGTCAAGGGATAAGCCGGGTCGGTGCAGGCGGAGTTCAACTGTGGTCAGGTCAAATCAGGTAGGTAACAGGAATCAGGATGCAAGCAACAAGTACAGAAAGTAGTAGACCAGAAGGCATGAGTTTAAGTGCAGCAGGGGTTTAAATAGCCCGCCTGTGCACACCGATGCGCAACCGTGTGGCCGACGGGTACCCAGCGTTTGCGCATAGATGTGCACCGACGTGAAGCTTCCTTACCCTGACACAAACACAATTGGCAGTCTAAAGTAATCAATTCAGCCCCTAACCCCACTGACTACCAAACCAGCATTCTCCAGACTGATTGCTTGATCTGTTCCTCCGAGTATTTACCCTGAAAGAGCAATGGTTAGGATGATATGGAAGCAGAGTGAGATGTGCTGTACCAAGTGGCAAGGGGGTGCCCTTTAATTGTTGATATAGATGTAGCACCCTTCTACATAGGTACTAGGTTTAGATCGAGGAGATGTAGTGTATGCTTTGATAGGTACATTTAGCTGTCACACTGTAGTCAGTGTGATTGTAATTATTGTTCGGTAAAAGCATATTTTGCCCACTAATCAGTGTTGCTGTGTTCAGCTAGTTAGGTCTGCTCAGTTGTTCAGCTGCTGTCAGCCTGATAGCTCCCTCTGCATCCAGATAGCTTGAGAAGTTTCTGGATGATAGGTGTGGAGTTGTGAATATGGATACAGCCCTGGCCTATGTGTGTGCGCTGTCATCAGGAGCAGCCAAATGGATATTTTTTGAATGTTTTATTGATTTGAATATATAATTGAACATATTGATTTAAATGTACAATGCTGCGGCGCTGCAAATCTCTTCACTACACAAAATACATATGAGGCATAGGGGGGAGGACTTTTTTTTTTTTTTAATCAGCAGGAAGAATAGTTTAAAGGCTTCACTTCACTTACCTCTCATCACCCAATGAGGACTTATCCAGCCACTTCCATTCATCATCCATCTTGTAGTAACCATACCAATGATCATCACCATCTGCCTTGAAGCGCATTACATTTTCCTACAAAATGGCAGCAGTATGCTCAGAAATGCATCCATGTATACATAATCTAGAGCAGGGGTAGGCAACCTGAGAGCCGCAGGACTACAAGTTCCATCATGCCTCTGCAAGGCATAGCTGTAACTGTCAGTTTTGTAATCTTTGCAATACCTCATGGGAAATGTAGTTCCACAACAGCTAGAGAGCCACAGGTTGCCTACCCCTGGTCTAGAGTCACAAACGTTACAGGGATTCTAAAAATGCTGTTTTTTTACCTTCATGCATAGGGGGAAAAAAAATTCTGTATGCTGCTCCACCTACAGTCCCCTCTAATACTCACCT